GTGTGTACGGCCGTACACCCTCTAAGATGGATGCATTTTGGGTCTTAAATCAAAGGGGTTCAAGGGTTCAAGAGTTCTAAGGGGTACCAAGTGAATAGCAAGTGTTTAAGGCCTTAGATAATGGAGTTATCAAGGGTGTATGGCCATAGATAGAGTGTACGGCCGCACACTCTTGATGGTCTTGAGTTTGAAGATGTTTAAAGACTCTGAATCATGGATCTTTACTAGCTAATTCAAGGAATCAACTAAAAATGGAAGGAATGCTTACTTTCTTTGAAGATCTAGGTGAAAGTTTGATGATAGTTGAGAGAGAACTCGAGTTCTTGACTTGGAAGTTGGAGAAATGAATAAGAAATCAAGGAGTGGATTATATATGGGGGGTGGTGTACGGCCACATTGAGTGTACGGTCGTACACCCATGTGTACGGCCGTACACTCCTCTTGAAGGAGTGTATGGCTGGATTTCAAAGTGAAGAACCTAGGCTAACACTTCCCTAAACCCAAAACTTGATTGTACTAGGCTTAGAACTCATAAAACGATCCTTAACAATGCTAAAAGATAGCAGAAACGAGTCTGACTCTCGATTGATTGGCTGGACAAAACAAAAAATTTTGGGTTGTCACATCATCCCCCCGTTAGATGGAATTTCGTCCCGAAATTAGCTTTCTTAGCAGTACTACTGGGGTTGTGCTCCTCTGATTGGTAGAACACTCACTCGTAGACCTGCAACTTGCCGTAATGTTCATGATAGGATTCATACTAGGTCCATCTATCATTACCTCGTGTATACAAGTCGTATATAATTAAGATTATTAAGACGGTCGGATGTGCGACTCTGCCCCAGGTCCACAACCAAACAAGGAACAGGAGATAGGGCGGAAACACACATACTAAATCTGCATAATCATAATTATATACCACTCTAGCGTATACACTTATTAGTGATAGGTGGGCTATATTCGTCCTTAGCCTCTGTGCTTGAACTTGATCTGTTGGACGAGTGGTAGTTTGGGAAGGTCTGTTGAATATACGGTGGCAAGGTTTCGGAGGGCAAAGTACTCTTCGCATGAGTACTTCGGGGTTTAGAATACGAGGTAGATGATTCTAAGGTCTGGGTCGGGCTGTCGTTACGAATGACGAGGGTTTCGCGAATTTGACGGTCAAGGCGATGGAAACATATGAACTTAGTATGGTAAGGACCAAGCCAATTCATGACGAATGATAGCAACAGACTCTTTACCGAAACAAGAGTTAGGCCGATTTGAAAGAAACGTATGTTATATGACGGTGTACCTCTAGTGTGCTCGACAATGTACTCTGTGTAAATGTTCTAGTGCTTTCTGTTTTCTCCTTGATGTTAACACTTCTACGTATCGTACCGCGATAAGCGAGTACATACAGTGAAAGTGCTTTGATAACTAGTGTCGATACTTTACAATACGATCCTCCTCGGTACCACTATGATTGCCTGTAATATACAAGTTATGAATAATTAAGATGAATAAGACAGTCGACTGAGTAGCTCTGCCCCAAATCCACAACCAAACAAGGAACAGGAATTAAGGCGGAATCACTCACTCTAAGTCTGCAAAATCTTAGCTATGCACAACCCTGATGTAGATACTAAGCCATCATAGCTTCTCTGAACGGATCTTTTAGTTCTCTTGAATACTGTGACTTGTTCCGATAAGTGAGTTATTATAATTACTTTTAAATGTTTTCCCCAAGTTTTGAATCTTATATAAATATAAATTAATTTTTAAAGCAATTTATAAAACGAGAACGTACCGCTGGTCGCTGGGGACTCCGGGGTAGATTCTCTTGCGGTGATCATCAGAATTCGTCCATCCGCGCATGAGCTCCTCGTTATCGGGCAGTCCCTCTTGTAATGTCCTGTCTCACCACAGCTATAGCAGTCCTGCAGAACCGGGCAGTGTGCCCCTTCCCGTGGTAATTCAAGCATTGTATTTCCCGACATACTTCGGTGTGGTGGTAGTTACACCCATCACACTTCGGGAGTGTTCCAGCATATCGACTGGCAGGCGCTGGAGTAGCAGGTGTTGTGGCGGCGTATATAAAACCCTTTTGTTGCTCCTGCGGGGTTTCTTGTGTTGTTCGCTCCTTCCTCTTGTTCCCCGACTTTCTTTTATTGTCCCCTCCCTTTGATGGCTCGGGTACAGGGACCACCACGCCATGGCGGACCCCATGGTCAATGAGTCGTTGGGACAGACGTTTGGCGCTATCGAATGTAGTTGGGTTAAAAGACAACACATCTCCTTGAATCGGGGTAGATAAACCCCAGATGTACCTTTCTATCTTCTTACTTTCCGTGTTAACCATCCCTGGACACAGTGTTGCCAGGTCACTCAACCTGTGAGTGTAGGTCACTATGTCCGAACCGACCATGGTGTGCTCCCATAGTTCTTGTTCTAGCTTTTGAACTTTGCCCCTCGGGCAATATTCTTCCAACATTAACTCCTTTACGTTTCCCAACCTACGGAGTTAGCCACTGATAGGGTCAGTGACTTAACATGGCTATTCCACCATGTTAGGGCTCTGTCGGAGAAGGTGCAGGCAGCAAACTTCACTTTGCTCCCTTCTGGGCACGAACAGGTTTCGAAGACCGACTATGTTTTCTCGAACCATCGCATCAGAGCAATGACTCCCCCATTTCCATTAAAGGATTTGGGTTTGCAGTTCATGAAGTCCTTGTACGAACATTCCCTTGGGTGTCCGTGAGTAACTTCGGGGTCGGTTAAGTGGGTACCGCTACCAGTTCCGTAGGTACCACTTTCGCTGATGTGAGACAGAGCAGTGGCCACAGCAGCTGATATCGCTGCTTGGAGAGCAGCAGAATCGAACTGTGGAGGAGGTAGTGGAGTTTGAACTGGAGTTATCGGAGTAGTGCGCCTGTTTGATCTACGAGGAGGCATCTTTGCTAAAAAGAATACAAAGATGAGATGGAAATAAGTCTATAGCAGTGGATATGAGCCGAAAGCTGAAAGACTAAGTTATCCTAGTTATGAATGTATCTGGTTCTGACTTTCATAGGGTTCTGGAAACAATTCATAAAGGAAGTCTATATAACATAAACTTTATGAATCAGAAGTGGCTATCCTCGAATGAATCTCTCTGAATTGAACAACTGATACCGGTTGGATGAAAAGAAATGATTCTAACACATAGTGTGAGTAGTGAAATTACTAGCTCACTAATTCAAATAAGGTAATTATTTATTAGTGTGACGCATAAGACGTTTTTAGTTTCTCTGGCTGATCACTTCTCTGAAAACTTCTCATGAACCTGCTCTTGTTCCTCCTTGACTCGTCTGCTGATCGCTATGAGGAAGTGGTTACATCTATCTGGGTTCGTCGTACGAGAATGGAAGTTTCTAAAGAATCTATCAGATTTAGGTGATACATTATGGGGTGATCCTTACTGGGTCCTCCTATAATTGCGCAATGTATACAAGTTGTATATAATTTAAGATTAAATAGTCCTTCGATTAAGTGATCCTACTCCAAAACCACAACCAAACAAGGAACAGGTAGTGCATAGATCACAAATTCTAAGTCTATAAAATCTCAATTATATCAAACCTTGGAAGTATACACTCCGGAATCATAGACCTACCAGAAGGGTCTTTAAATTATCACATAAGTTATTTATATAGTGCCTAAAGTACTCCTATAGTATTTTATTATAATGTACTTGGTATGTTTTAAACTTGTTGTTGTCTTGTAGTATCATACAATACTCCCATAGTATTCTAACTGTATATACTGATCTACAAATCCCTTGAATAGAGTTAGGTAAGTTTTAAGACTGTTGCAACACCACATCACTCCCAAACACATGTCGGTCACATCTCGAATGAATATAGTTGATCAGGCTATACTGATCCTAGATATGATTACATAACTGTCCAGGTTTGACCGCAATGTTCAACCTTTAAATACTTCTGTTTTGTTCTTCCCGTGATACTTCTTCTAGTATGTATATATGTATAAGCACGTATGTATACTTTTATAAGGTATTGTTATATTCTTAAAATATATTATTATCCAGAGCACTACGACCCCATTGTATTTATAGTTGTATATCTTTTATAGGTTGATATACTTAGTTCACTATAAACAATGCTCTAAGATGGATGCATTTTTGGGTCTTAAATCAAAGGGGTTCAAGGGTTCAAGAGTTATAAGGGGTACCAAGTGAAGCAAGTGTTTAAGGCCTTAGATAATGGACTTAACAATGGTGTACGGCCATAGATAGAGTGTACGGCCGCACACCCTTGATGTTCATGAGTTTGAAGATGTTTAAAGGCTTTGAATCATGGATATTTACTAGCTAATGCAAGGAATCAACTAACAATGGAAGGAATGCTTACTTTCTTTGAAGATCTAGGTGAAAGTTTGATGATAGTTGAGAGAGAACTCGAGTTCTTGACTTGGAAGTTGGAGAAATGAATAAGAAATGAAGGAGTTGCTTATATATGGGGGGTGGTGTACGGCCACATTGAGTGTACGACCGTACACCCATGTGTACGACCGTACACTCCTCTTGAAGGAGTGTATGGCTTGATTTCAAAGTTAAGAACCTAGGCTAACACTTCCCTCAACCCAAAACTTGATTGTACTAGGCTTAGAACTCATAAAACGATCCTTAACAATGCTAAAAGATAGAAGAAACGAGTCTGAATCTCGATTGATTGGCTGGACAAAACAAAAATTTTTGGGTTGTCACACTATCATCTCAAAGACTTTCTTATTTTTATGCAATGTCTTTCATAGTTGGAAATTATTTCTTTCTATATATTCAACTTATGTTTCTATTAGGCAATAAGTTATCTTTCTTGAATTCATTGAAATAAGCTTCATCATGTAGTTTAGTTACTTATCACTCATTCTTTCTTATATCCATTACAGTGAAGGCTTTCCCCAAGGATGACCCAACCAATCCATGCAAGCTAACAACTTTCTTGGGCTACAAGGATGGGATGACTCACATTATCAGAGATGTTGAGAAGCCTGGATCAAGTAACCCTATTCAGATTTCCACATACTTTTTAATATGTGAAAAAAAGTCGGAAACTTTCTCAGATTCTTGATTGATATAGTTGATGAAATATTTTCCTTTTGATTCACAGAGCTTCACAAGAAGGAGATACTGGTGGTTGTTAGTGTGGTAGCCTATGTCAAGACGCCACGTCGCCTTCGTTCATTGAACATTGTTTGGGCTCAACATCTAAGTGAAGACATCAAAAGGAGATTCAACAAAAACTGGTGCAAAACCAAGAAGAAAGCATTTGCCAAATACCCAAAGAAATTCGAATGTGATGAGGGCGATAAAGAAATTCAGTCCCAATTGGAGAAAATGAAGAAATACAGACTGTCATCAGGGTCTTGGCTCACACCCAGATCGTGAAAATGAAGGGGTTGATGAAAAAGAAGGCACATATTATGGAGATTCAAGTAAATGGAGGACCAATTGCTCAAAAGGTGGATTTTGCTTATGGATTTTTCGAAAAGCAAATCCCAATTGATGTTGTTTTCCAAAAGGATTAAATAATTGATATAATTGGAGTAACAAAGGGTAAAGGTTACGAAGGTGTTGTGACTAGGCTGTTACGTAAGACTCATAGAGGTACCATCATCGTACTGAAATGAACAAGAAGATTTACAAACTTGGGAAAACTGGACAAGAGTCACATACTACTCTTACTGAGTTTGAAAAGTTTGTTTTTTTGAGGACTAAAAATGTAAATAAATGTTACGCTTAGGGACTGTATGTGTAGTTAATGTTGTGTTGATGATTTTTATAGGACTGAGAAGGATATAACTCCAATGGGTGGGTTCCCACACTATGGAGTGGTGAAGGATGACTATTTGTTGATCAAAGGTTGTTGTGTGGGCCCCAAGAAGATGGTGGTGACACTTTGTCAATCCTTGTTGGCACAGACGTCCAGGTTGGCACTTGAGGAGATTAAGCTCAAGTTCATTGATACTTCTTCCAAATTTGGACATGGTCGTTTCCAGACTACAAAGGAGAAGCTCAAGTTCTATAACCACATGAAGGCTTGAGGGAGAAGGGTGTTTGGTAAGTTATAGTTAGTATAGTCTGTCTGAACAACTTTTTGAATGTTTTTTTGAGAACCAAAATATTGGATGGAGCTTTTTTTGTTAAAGTGTCTGTCGGCATGGATATGTTTTTTGATATGATTTGTCTTGGTAATCTTTAATACACAGATTATGTTTCAAATAGTTATTGTTTTTTGGTCCTTATTTAAATTTGATCGTAGAATCTAATTCCATTCTAAAAAAAAATATTGAGGAATGAAATTGAAAATAAATCTATATTTCATTTCCCTTAGTTTAACTCACTAAGCTTGGGAATTATAATTTATAATTTATAAATTATGTTGCTTTTGATGAATGATGAACAATTTGATGTTTCCTTTCAGGGCTTCTACTGTTCAGAAGATCAATCTTGATGCTTGTCTTTTGGCTCATGAAAATACCATAAACCACATTAGAAAAGGTTACAAGTTACAACCTTTTACATTTACATATTATCGAAAATTCCCTTAATATTGACTTTGTTTTATGATTTATGGCATACAGATGATTGGTCTCTTGGTTATACCACAGTTTTTGGAACAGATGAGACCTGCATTGGTGGTCAGAGATTCAGAATCATATTTTCTCCTGTAATTACCACTTGATAATATAATATTATGGCTATTTGTTGAATATAGCATCCTACTCTAACAATTATAATTGAAATATTAAGTTATATGCAAGAAATAGCAATGTACTTTCATTTATTTGAAAGTACAATGATTTAATAAGAAATGGAAATTTAGATTTTATGTTTATTTGTTGAATATAGCACTCACTGTTAAAGAAATGATCATTTTTATAAGTGAAACATTATATGTAATTTCTTTTATCCGGTTGGGGGTGCCACAGTTGAATACACAAATGATGATATTGATAAAATCCGTGAAGAATGGTCAACTTTTGTTATAAGCTTCATTTATCGGTGATTTTTTGTATCCATAAACAATATTTTTGTTAACAATGAAATGTTAGGTAGCGCATCATCTTCTGACATGTGGTGCATGGTGTTTTTTGTTAACTGTGTGAATGTTAGGTATCATCCTCTTTTGAGATGTAATGTAATATAATGTTTTTGGTACTTTTTTGACATTTATATGAAATTGAATGTGTTTGGTATGTAAATTTGTTTGTTTATTATGCCTAAAATGCACATTGTGAATACGTATCGTAAATAGTTACTAAGTTTATGACATGCAAAAGTGTGTCATCTTCATTTATAACGGAGGATTTAATGATACACATTGCATGTTGTAAGGTTACGACACGCAAATGTGTGTCGTCTTCTTTATGACAGAGCCTTCCTTGACACACATTGCGTGTCGTAAGGGAGCGTCGTAAATGTGCGCCGTAAGGTTACGACACGCAAATGCGTGTCGTCTTCCTTTATGACAGGGCCTTCCTTGACACACATTTGTGTGTCACTTGTGGCTTTTATGATACGCAATGCATGTTGTTGGAGCATGAAAATGCTCTACAAATAATGAGTGATAGTTAGGTTGTATTTTTCCCTTTATTGTATTGTTGGTGTATTTGTCTCTCCCTCATATATAAAGGGAGAGATGGTCATTTCTTATTATGCACCTTTTCTCACAATGTAATCTTAGAGAGAGAAAGTGGTGGGATTTCTCCCATCCAGGGAGAGTTTCTCTCTCCCACCAATGTTCTTCATGAAATAATATTTTATCTCTCTTTCTTTCTCATCTTCTAAGAATTCTCATCATGTTCTTCATATCTTTATATTTTGATACACGATAAATTTCTAGATATTTTTCTTCCGCATCCACCGTTCATATAAAAATGGGTTCCTACAATTGTTATCACAGCCATACCTTGAAGGTTCAAGCGACTAGTTCAAGGGAACGACTCCCGTTCGGTGATTATCTTGAAGTTTTTCGTGTTTTTGCAAGAATTTTCGGGTTCAAACCGGAAATTTCTGATGAGTTTTCTATTTTTCTGGGGTGATTCTTACTTAGTAGAATAATTATGTTGCTGCTGCTCACTCAAATTCACTGCTGGAAATTTATGTTCTTGGTGTTCTTAGTATTTTTCTGTTGAAGAAATGAAAAAAATGGGAGAAGAAATTATTTTTATGGTCTCAAACTGTTGAAGAAATTGTTCCAGGGAGTTCTTTTAATCTTGGAAGAAAAGACACAAAATAATGGGCTTATTTTCTTGAAGATAGTGTAGTTTATTCTACCCAGAAGCTTATGAATCTTCTTGAGGTATGAAGACTTTTATTCCTCTTTATTCTTGCTGTGGGGTCTTTAATGTGAAGAAAAAATGGACGTAATATGTTTGTATAAAGCATCTTGTCCTTGTTACTCTTTTGGGTAAAGAGTACTCCGCTATTTACTCCCTCAAAAAGACAAAACCATGTGAATATGAAAAATCCCATCACCTTTTGTCCCTAAAAACCCACCTGTACACTCTTCTTTTTGCCTTCCTAAGGCCACTTGTTGACTTAAAATGCTTTATAAAAGATTTCCTTATTAAAATATGAAAAATGGCCTTTGCGGTACCATTTTTCATGAAAAAATAGCATTTTTCGTCACCTGTTCAGCCCTTCTCGGACCCCCGAACCACGGCCAAAAACTGCCTACCAGAGCCTCCTAAGAAGCCTCCCTGCAGCCCCTCTCGGGCCTTGGTCCGCAGCCTCTCAGCCAAGCCTTGGTCTGCAACCTCTTAGCCTAACCGAGAAGCCCGCAGCCTTCTTAGCCCTCTGACCACAGTCTCGGATCAGCAGCTTCGGACCGCAGGTACTCGCACTCTTCCTCTCGGACCGCAACTCGCATCCGCAGTCACCCAACTTCGCTGCTACCACAGCCTACCCTTCGCCTCCTCGGTAGCTAGCACCCTGCAGCCAACACATCAGATCCACCTCCCCTCTCTCATCCGAACCCACCCCACCATCCGCACCCAACCCTTCCATCCGCAATCTACTCCCACCGCAACCTTCCTCCACCCGCAGTCCTCCTAGACCCGCATCCTCCCTCTTAACTTTGGATTCTCCCTTCTCCTCCTCCGTCTTCCTCCTTCCAGCCTCCTTCTTCCTCCTCCCCCCTCCTTTCCTCCTCCCCTCTCATCAGCCCTCCCCTTTTTTTGCCTTCTTATTTTTTTTAAGTTCATTTTTTTTCAGCCTTTTATTTATTTATTTTTATTAGTTAAAATTTTTTTTAACAACATTTATTTTTAACGCCAGTTATTTTTTATTCAGCTAATATTATTTTTAACACCAATTTTTTTATTTTTTTTAGCCAATTTATTTATTAAAACCAATTTTTTTACACCAATTATTTTTTTTAACACCAATTTTTGCCACAATCGAACCTTGGATTGTCACATTGGTTCATTTCGTACCGATTATTTTGGAAGATTACTCTATCCGCAGTCGGACTTCATACTATTCTTTGTGATGTTTCACATTCTTCACTTTATGGGATATTATGACTTGGCGCTCTTGATCTTCGGTTGACGAATCATGTATCTTGAGCATATGGACTTTATTTTCTATTGAAGACCATTACGAGAGTTCCGGCACCACAGTTTGGATATTTTTGGTATTCTCGGCACAACAGAGATATTTCTTCATGCAGTGATTCTTCGTTCTATGGCATTTGTTCATGCAGCTTCAGCAACTATATCACCCACCTTCTCATAACCGCAGAGTATCTCCTTTACTCTATTTCTCGTGTCTTATCAAGACCCTTCATACATCTAGGGAGAGCTCTCTTAGCTCTTGGTATCCGACACTCTCCATCCGATGATTTGTTGATTTTTGATATCTGGTCATTGGTTATCAAAAATAGGGAGATAATATCATCCGGATTTGGTTATTATGATTGTTTGAGTTTAGATTTTGGATCTTCTGAAGACGATGATTTATTTAGTAATGTGATGTGGCATTTATTTTTGGTCTTTACGGATCAAATTTTTGGCATTACTCGATGTTTTCCGATTCAGATTATTTATTATTCGGACTCTACCACAGGATGATTTTGTGTTCGCATCCGGTTCAGATCTTATGGTTTCACGAGTTTGGATTTGTGATATTTTGAAGAGGAAGATTATTTTGGCGATGTGACGTTGCACTTATTTTTGATCCTTGGATCAAATTTTTGGCATTTCTGGACCATGTCTTTGAACTCAGATTATTTTTATCCGAACTTCATTTTATGGATGCCTCACATTTTTAGCAGGTTATTCTTTGAAGAATCTTGGTGTATTATGATTCGAGAACTCGAGATGTTTTTCAGACTTTTTGAAGCCGAAGTGTTTCATTTATTGGATCTTCTACTTGCTCATGGT